GATTGCAGAAAAATACAGCATCACTGATGTTAGAGTGTTTATTTTCTTGCTCATTACTTTCCCCATGCTCTTGCAGGACAGGTTTAAAGTGTTTAGCAGTTGTTTTGACTGTATAAAAGTAGCTTAGCAGACGTGAAATTCTAGACAGTAATGTTTATCTGTACAGCAGTTTTGCTGTTATTAAGTTCTCCATGCATTTCAGGGATGATTCACAGTTCATTGATTTTGGTACTTAATATGTTTTCATTCATATAAATACTCTTCAGTCGGTTCTCATTGATCTTCATACAAACTTAAGTTCTGTGTACTCAAGGAACTTAGTAAACAGAAAAAAGAAAAGTTAATTACCTGGTTGCTTCCACAGCCTCTCATGAAACCTCCTCTTCAATGCTTTGGTGGAGACAGAGCACTTGAAGCATAAAGGTAAAGGCTGTCAAATCAAAGTCTGGGCAAATTGGCAGCTACAGTAACATACAGCCTTTTATTTTCATTTCCAAGCTATTTGCTTCATCCAGCTCTGGAGTGGCATATGAAATAAATTCCCAACCTTGAAGAGTGTGAGTTCCTGACAAAACATCATGTATTAAATATGCAAAATAAGTAACTATTCTGTGATTCTATAATGCACCATTAAAACATCTGTTATTTCAGTAATACCTTTTTCATCAATCAGCAGGGCCAACTATAATCTACGTTTAAATAATAAACTAGGCACATCTAGAGGATGAGATAGTCAACCAAAGACCTGAAACAGTCTCTGGAAGTGTCTTTCTCTTTTTATCCATTATCCAAAGAGATTAGTTTGGCACCTAACCAAAATGTTTTAGCCAAGTAGGGTGGAACTGAGTGTAAGCTTTTTAGGTCATAGTTTTAGGTAGGAAAAATATCTGAAGTTGTTGAATTTATAGTAGGTTAAATTTATAGTAGTCTAAAGCTGAATTATCTCACAGTTTCTATCAACTAAGAGCATTGCTAAACCAAGAATTTTAATTGATGGTAACTTGATTGTGTAATCGATAACGAAGTCAGTCAAAATAATTAAATCGTGTTGTATCTGGTGATTGAGTACACTTAAAACTTGGATTGTTTCATGGATCCATGCATATATGACAGCACTGAAATGCAGGCATTAGCAAGTAATGTCTATGTCTTGCCATATTTTAAGAACATGTTTTGGGTACAGTCATACTATTTCTGATTTGTACTGCTAAATTCAATTTCACCCAGATTGCATCTACCTTTGTAGAATTTTCTTGTGACTGTGCTTATTTGACATAATCAGATCTTTCCATCAGCTCATGCCAAGGCTGGCATACTCTCTGCTGAATTGTGAAAGTAGCGTTGCTTTCTGACTGCTGATGATACAGGACTATATTTATGCAAGACTTGAAACATACCACAGCAACTATTTAGATTCGGATTATACATAATATGTACCTTGTTTTTTAGACAGACGACTGTAGTGCTCTTGTGATGCAAATTTAATATAGCCATAGATATTGATAGTAACATCCAAAACCATGTTCTGAGCTCTGAATTATTTTACTAAAGGAGAGAAAGTTTCCTGTGGTTATGTCTGTATCCTTCCTTGGAAAACCAGGAAACTTTACAATATCCAGATGTTATCTCATCAGATTCTATTGAAAGAGTAATTAACAGAGACAGAGAAGAAGTAAGTTCCACTGATTTTTTTTCTTCCAAAAGAACTCGCAGACCTGCTTAATAGTTTGATTGCCATTTCACGACACCCAGCCCCTTCCAGTAACATTTCTTACTGCTATCTGAGAAAGAGTAAGACATATCGTGCATCTGAAGCCTTAGGAGAGATTTTCATCATGATAATCACAAAATGAAAGGGCAATCTGGAAAACCACTTATTTAAAATACAGGAAGATGGCTTTTGCTGAACTTATTACCATTTGCTAGTGTTTAAGGTCTGTAATTTCCACTCATGTTAATGCATTCTAATTATTATCCTGCTTAGCTTTTGTTTCTCATGAAGATTAAAGTGGGCTGTTTGATGTGTGCAAAGAAATGACTAGAGAAAATGGTAAACTAATTGGAAGATGTCAGCTTAGGAGAGTGTTTTTGACATGATTGCTGTAAGGCTGTTAACAAACAAACTCATTTGTCTCACCATGAAATGAAAATAAAAATCATAACATTATGATAAAACCTTGACTAGGAAATGCCTGCAAGACTCTTTGAAGCCTTAGTTTCTTTTCTTCCCTGGGCTTTGGCACTGTGATATATGCAAACCACGTTCTACATAACTGTGAAGTGAAATAGGTTCTATGCAGAACAGATGGACCAGGGCTAATGTGGCGATGTGCACTGGAGACGAGAACAGATTAATACCACAAGAGGAGACTGGAGGAAAATTGGAAAGATGGGGGTATTTGAACTAATTCATGAATCATTTCCAACTGATAGTTATGCCTTCAGGCACAGTCAATAATATCAAGGAAGCATATTTAAAATTGTATAAGTTTGTTTTAATGTAGATTAGAATCAAGAGCCATACTTTTGGATGATTAAAAATAATATCTTGTATTCCCCTGTCCCAGAATGTACCTTCATGATTTAAACATCCCTGATGAGCTTAATTATGTGCACTGTGACATGAATTACTGTTTGGAAAACCTGTGGCAGATCACAGACTTGGAACAAAGATTTTGGGAATGGGTATTTTGCAAGAAGCACTGTATGAGCTGGGAGAACATTCTCTGCCACTTGCATCAAAGCCACAGTGATGCAGCTCTGCGGTGTCTTGAGGAATTATCTGATTGCTAAATATTCAGGTGTCTTTCTAAGTTTCCCTTGTCTTATCTTATCCAAACAGCCTTCAGTCTTGTGAGGTTCAGACTTCTCGAAGCTGTGCCAGAGCAAGTACATGTAGATACCTGCATCTTCGAGATCTTCAGGGATTTGTTACAGAGTGAGGCTTTCAAAAGAGACATTTCACATGATCAAATTATGATACTCTTGCTAATGGACATTTTAATCTACAGCAGACAATCATGGGTAAATAAGGAGGTTCACCTGAGAATTAGCATGATTTTAACATGCATAAAACCACCAGGATCTGAAACAATTAAGATACGTGAGAAATATGTAACTTCCCAGTATCAGTGAAGGTGTCAGAGTTATTTTTATCAAGTGAAAAAACACAATTCCAGGTGTTAAGGCATCAAAGATTCTTCATTTTGCAAAGCTCAGTGTATGGATGAGCCTGATTAACAATGGACATGATTCATAAAAGGAAAAAGAAACTGTAAGAAAAGGAAATGTATAGATGATTGTCTGGATGCTCTACATTCTCAGGAGATTTTCAAGCTATAAAGGAGGATGTGAAGAAGATTTTGAGAAAAATCTGATTAAGATAGCTAGTTCATTTTACTACACGGGTTTCTGCTCACCAGCATAGATGTTGTGTCATTCCTCTTGTATACAATTCTTTCATTCTAGGCAAGGCTCAATAAGAAGAGAGAAAGGTACAAAATGGACCGCTTGCCTAAAACTTGATTCCCGTTCTGCTGATTTCATTGCAGGTTGCAAACCTGGCCTGTTCAATCTCGAATAATGAAGAAGGCGTGAAGTTAGTCCGTATGGCAGCAACGCAGATTGATAGTCTGTGCCCACAGGTAAGTAAGATTCCTGCTAAAATGTATTTGAGTACTTGGGAGCGGGTTGACCAAGGAAACTGTGAATGTTCCATCCCTGGCAGCATTCAAGGCCAGGTTGGATGGAGTCTTGGGTGACATGGTTTAGCGCGAGGTGTCCCTGCCCACGGTAGGGGGATTGGAACTAGATGATCTTAAGGTCCTTTCCGATCCAATCCGTTCTATTATTCTATGATTCTTTTGGCATTAAAAGCACTAGTTAGCTGAGACAGGGAAAACAGCCTAGATGAAGATTATAGCCTTGTCTTTGTCATTACACTGTTGCCTGCTTTCCATTAACTGTGAAAAATACTCTCATATCCTGAGATTGGGTGTAATGCTGTGTTTTTAACACAGTCTGTAATCTATTTGTTCTTTCCCTTGGGAAAAAAAATTTGCCCCTCTTTGTAACAAATGACTTTGAATAACAGGTAATTAATGCTGCGCTCACATTGGCTGCCAGACCCCAGAGCAAAGTAGCACAGGACAACATGGATGTCTTTAAAGATCAGTGGGAGAAACAAGTGCGAGTTCTCACTGAAGCTGTTGACGACATCACTTCGGTGGACGATTTCCTCTCGGTTTCAGGTACTGGGATCAAGGGACTCTTCTAAAAATACACTCCTAAATTAAAGTAATGGGTTAGATCAGAGAAAACCTATAATTACTAAAGCATCATTATTCATTAGTCCGTCCCTACTGGAATGCTGATCCTCTACAGTCAGTAGGAACAACCAAGCCATGCTAATTAATCCCTGGTTAGCTTTTCATCTCCAACAGAATAATATCCTATTTGTGCTTCTATTTCTAGAGAAGTTTTGTTTCAACACGGGCACAAATTAGGATTTGGGCCACCTTTTGAAAATGTATTCCGGACCTGTGTCAGGCTGACAGTTTTGTACAAACTGTTATTAGAATCCTTGTGCAGTTGTAGTCAAGAGGAGGAAAGATGAACTTTCCTTACTTTATTTTGTAGCTTTGCTCAGATGTGCTGTGTCTAAACACTGTGGCAGATATACCATAACCCTCATTATCCCTACCAGCTTACCAGGCCCTGAAGAGACATAGGAAAAACGGAAGTAAGCAGATGCTATATGTGAGTCCCATCTAGGTGTGTTTTCAGGACATGACCAGTGTGTATGTTTCCAGAGAGCAGGAAAGCACTTCTGGGTCCCAGAGTTACTGGTGTAGCAACGCATCCAGAGAGAAGTAGTGAAGTAGTATAAGAAATAACAAATCTTGGCACTTCTCTGACGTGACTAGGAAGGACTACAATGCAAAACAAGCTTTTCTATGAAAACAGACAAAGTATCTTAGTCCTTGCATAAAGAAGGGATAGTGAAGAAAAGGACATAGGCTTTTTGGGTCACAGTCTTTTTTCCATCCTTCTTGTGAAGTGCTACATCTTGTGGCAGAGTGTGTTGTTATAATAGTTATATACAATGAACACTATAATTGTGAAGTGCTGTGTGTCTTGTGTTAATTGTCTGCTGTAGATAATTTATTTTCCTGTTACAGTTTGAAAGAGGTGAATTTTGTTGTTGTGAATAAGGACACAGTGGGCCAAGTGTGCTTAGCTGTGACTGTAATGTCACAGAAGAGCCAAACTTCGGGAGATAGCTTGGACTTAATTTTATGTTTTGTTTCCTTAATGTTTGCTAAACTTCCTAATAAAATTTTAAGATGTTTGGAGAAAGAAAAAGCATTTATCCTTTCAAAACATCCATACTTTTCTTTCTTTGCTCTCCCATTTATTTCATTTGATTATACCCAGATATTATTAGTAACAGGGAAATAGTTTGGTTTAGTATAATGACACTTCATTGTTCAACACCAATGCTGGAGTGTTTACTGCAAGCCATGCCAAGAAAATGAAAATGAACTCTCAGAATAAAAAGATACTTCAGAATCTGGTAGCACATGGATTTTTGTTTGAGATTTGAAGCTGGCGAATGCTTTTCAACAGACCTAGTTTTACAATGAAGAGGCAGACCAAGCTATAAACTGCAGACCCTGTCCACAAGCCAAAGAGAGGGCAAACTTGCTTAAATGACCATTTGGTTATTTGTTTGAGGACTTTGCTCACTCCAAGCACTTGTATCCATAAATCCAGAAATTATTTGAATGGAAAATATTTCTATTTTTTGTTTTTCTCAAATAATATTTTCTTCAACATAGCCTTGACTTAGATCCAAATTTTCCAAGGCAGCTAAGATATTGTATTTCTGTTGGGTTTAGATTTTTTTGTAACACTCTCCATAGACATGTCTATTAAAGATGAAAAGACATCACATGTATCCAGAAAACCTGTTACTGCTAGCTGTAAGCTTGGAAGCCTCAGCTTACACAGGGTAGTTTTATTTTTGGATGTTAAAACAGTGAAGCATTCAGAATGGACTAGTGTCTGGTTAAACGTACCTCAAGAAATGACGCCTCCTCCTCTTCATATTGAGTGTCACAGTTTATGGCATGTTTTAATAATGTCCCTAGGAGACCTCAGAGCAACTTCCAGTGCCTAAAGGGGCTGACAAGAAAGCTAGAGAGGGGCTTTTGACAAGGGCAGGTAGGGTAGAACAAGAGGCAATGGCTCTAAACTGACAGAGGGGAGATTTAGATTAGACATTAGGAATAAGATCATCTCTGTAAGGGTGCTGAGGCGCTGGCACAGGGTGCCCAGAGAAGCTGTGGCTGCCCCATCCCTGGCAGTGTTCAAGGCCAGGTTGGACACAGGGGCTTGGAGCAACCTGCTCTAGTGGAAGGTGTCCCTGCCCGTGGCAGGGGTT